ATAAAAAGATAGATAATACACACACACACACATATATATATATATATATATATATTTTAAAGAACCACAGTTCCTGAATAGTAATAAAAATAGTCCTCAAGGACTCCATTTTGTGCCTAGTGGCAAAGATTACTTGATTATGTCGGCAGTTGGGAGTGGTTCAGCTCTAATTGAACTTATCTGCAAAATGGCTTATAGCCCATTGTCTATAGGATGCCAAAAATGCCTGGTAACAGGTGAATACCTCAGCTGGCCATCTGGATAGTTACTAAATGCCAATCATCTGGGAATGTAAAAAGATCTGTATGATTGATTGAATTTTCACTTTTCTTTTAGTTTTCGTATTGTTTCTCCCTATTTTGTCCCTTTCACTGTTCTGATTTCCCTTCTGAGTCTTCCATAATAACACCATTGTTCTCAGAAGAGCATCTTTTACTCTTCTATCGGAGCCTCCTTCTTCCTCTTCCATAGGACTTTCATTAGTTGAAAATCTGAGCAACTGACCAATTGCAATGCATTTCCACAGATAATTAATGTTAGTATTCACCCAGGGGATCTTCATGTGAGTTTGGATATAAAGGTAACTGCCCAATTAAAAAAACAAAAAACAAAAAACAAAAAAACAAAACAAAAAACGTGTGCCAAGCTCAGTATATTCAGAATGTTTTCGAAAGTAATAACATATTTGGTGCTTTAGATCTTGATTAAAAGGGAGATGATGTGTTTGGCCCTCATGGCTACCTTAAATTTATTCCTTATCATCATTTCTTGCTGCTTTCGCTATAAACTTCAACTTTTTTTTTCTTTCCTAGTCTTCTTTTCATCACGAATAAAACCAAAATAACCTGTGAGGGTGCTGTGTAGACCAAATGAAATACCACAATCTGAGAAAATGCCTTGGAAACTGTGGAGAGATTTAAATTGTAAAGTATAGGGATGTATACTAGTACTTACTGTGTTAAAAAAGAATAGCATCAGGAGCTGAAGACAAAGTAGAGATTTAAAAGTTTATAAAATTTCAATGACAGGAATCACATCCATGTATTATTTTGCATCCCATATGAAATGACTGAATTGAGGTACATCTTATAAATGTTTGCTAAATGAGAATTCCCTTGTTTTATTTATTTATTTATTTGTTTATTTATTCATTCATTCATTCATTCATTCATTTTTCTGAGAGAGAGAGACCAGGAAAGAGAAAGCTGAAAGCCTTTTGGCCATGGTCTCCTCCTGTCACAGTTCTCTGGCTGCAGACAGCTAGCTAGGATTCCAGATGTCATTGTTCTCAGCCTGGTTAGGTTGGCTTGGAGCAAAACCCAGACCTCCCAAGCAGCCTCAACCCCATGTAACAGTACCCTGCTGCTTGCATCACCACAGCTGAACTAAGAAAAGTTTTTTAAAATGATACAAAAAAGGTGACCAGCAGTTAGCATAATGTCTATGTCGCTGAACTCCCATGTAGTCAACCACGGTTCAAGTCCTGGATTTGGTGACTTAAACTCATTCTGGGTGTGTGTGCACACATGCCCAAGATCCCAAGAGGAGGATGGAGGAGAAGGGATTGCAGCGTGGCCATCTCCCTGGGGGGTGATTGCTCTCTTCCTGTCTCTCTGTTTCTGTCTTTCTGGTGAGCACATGTGCCCTGTAGCAAAAAAAACTCTCCAAAAAAAAAAAAAAAAAAAAGGGGGGGGACTGGCCCTGCAGTCTAGTGGTGAAGAAAGCTGGATTTCACACAGCCAACCCTAATTTGAATCCCAGCCCCAGACGACTTGTAAAACACGCAGAGCATGTATGCATGTGTGCCTAACATCCTGAGAGAAAAATAGAGGAAACAAGACAGCAGTGTTACCATGACCCACTGGGGGACGCTTTCTCCCCCCTCTTTCTCTCTAACTGTATCTCTCCCTGGAGAGCACATATGCCCTTTGGCAATCAATCAACTTTTTAAAAAAATACATAAGAATCTTTACATTTCCAGTTTGTTATATTCTAATAAATTCAGTGTCTTATATGAATTTTCCAATCTCCTATGAACCAATCAACATTATTTAAGGACTTACTAGGCACCAGGCATTTGGTTGGGACTATGATAGGCATAAAGAAATCATTCAAGACACGGAGTGAGAGAACAGATTTATAATAATGAACTCAGCCTATGTGGTTAATTCTTTGTTCTTTTCACCCACAGCCCCTTGCAACTTTTTCCAATTTTATCAACGTGAGAGAACAACAAATGTAAGAATCCTACAGAATTTTATTGCAAATAAAAAGAACTGAAACAATAGGTTTCCAACCTCCAAGTTACAGGATTCAAGCTGTCAACCTTTTGGGAAAATGCTTGTGAAAGGGACCCCAGCATGAACCAACCCAGTACCCTAAAGGTTAAGGTAAGTGGATCTCTCATGGTCTATTGTGGTTGAATCACAGCCCCCTCGCAGCCTGGAAAAGCATGCTGGACACATGTGCATGCATGTCTGAAATACCAATAGGATAGAGAAATGGAAGAGAAGGGACTGAAGCTTGACCATGCCTCACCAGGGGAGTGTTTTCCCTCTGTCTCTCTCTGGCTACCATGACCTCTAGCAACTAAAATAATAATAATAATAATAATAATAATAATAATAATAATAATTAAAAGGGACCCCATCCAGAGGCTAGAAAAGCAATCAAAGTTAGAGTAGCAACACGACAGAGTCAAGGAATAGACTCTGAACTGAGATTATAAACATTGCTTTCAGACTGAACTATGTAATTGTTCAACTAGAAAGAGAAACAGAGGTAGAGAGTAGGCTAGTGGGTGTTATAGAACACCACATCCCTAAACTGAATGACCACGTAAAGAATTTCACCTAAAACTCAGAGGAGGATAACAGACATATGTATGATAATCCAAAGTAAATGTGGCAGTGGCGTGGAGAATAGAGCCATGATAATGTATATGCAAATATGTGAAGATGAAAATAGAGAACAGTGGAGGAGGATAAAAAAGAAGCCATAATAAAATTTAAAAATAGAAATAGGTTTCAGCTGTGGTGATGCATGCTGCTAAGATGCTTGCTCCACAGGCTAAGACCCGATGGGAGTTTTGGAATTAATTCTTGGTCCAACCTAACAGTTGGGCAGAATGGGGATGCCTATAGTCCCATCAGATTGGGAAGCTGACAAAGGGAGGATGGCACATTCATGGCTGGCCTGGGAAACACAGTGAATCCTGGTCTATAAAAGAGCTAGAAATGATGGTTTGCAATTATATTCCTAGCTACCAGGCTAAGGCAAGAGAATCATGGCTGAAGTGATGCATTTCCAAGACAAAGTATGCAGAGCATTGCTAACCACTGCCAGAAGCTAGGAAAGAGATGTGGGATCTTTTCTCCTTCCAAGCCTCCACAAAGAACCAACTCTTCTGACACATTGGCTTTGTTCTTCTAGCCTCTTATTCTCTATGAGAATAAAGTCCTTTTGTTTTAAGCTGCCACTAGTTTGTGATCATTTGTTATGGAAGCCCTAGGAAACAAATCCAACTGATAACTGAGGCAAAGAGAAACAGAGCTCTGCTCTGGAGTCTCACTTTGGCATTAAATGCTCGGCCTGGACATACCCTGCTTCCTTTCTGCTCACAACTCATTAGCCAACAGTCTGTACACAGCCCCCATAACCAAAAGGGAGTCAGGAAGCGCAGTCCTACAATGTGCCAAAAAGCAGAGAATCAGAAATATTTGGCAACAGCACTAATGAGTACCATGGAGCTCACTGTATTACTTTGCTTTCAGAAGCAGAAGTATAGGGGCAAAATATCTTTACAAATGTATGCTGATGAAAATAGATGACAGTTAAATCCTCTTCTCTGTGATGAACAGAAGATATTTTGTCCCCAAATCTCCAACATGATGATCCATATATTCTTTTTAACAGCTACCTCAAATTTGAATTCCAAAATCTTTCTTAAAATCTGGCAAAGACTCAACATTAGTGAGAAAATTCTTCCTCATAACTTCTAAATGGCATTTTCAGGAGTAACATCAAGGAAATATTGCTCAAATTCATCTTGCCGGGATTGAATGTGGATATTTTTTGAAATAATTTTTAAAAGCTTTGCTTTATAAGCTTTATGAAGACAAGAAAATGTTGAGGCATTTTTAAAGAGATAATTCTACCTCTGTATGTCTGAGGTAAATCATAAATTATCCTGAAACTGGAGTGGTCCTGAAATCCATGACTTGTGCCTTTTTTTTTTCTTTTCCCTCTAAGGCACATGTACTCACTGGGGGCAGAGAGAACATGGGGAAGCACCCATGTTCTGGATTCTACCTCTGTATGTCTGAGGTAAATCAGAAAGAGAAAGAATATTGGTCTTTCAGATTCAGAGTATCCAAGTCTCCAATATAGTAGCCAAATTTTCTAAGCTTTGCTGGAAGTTAGACTTTTTTGATAATTTGAAGTACTTAGCCTTATGCTTGATTTTAGGGAAAACAGGAACAATGGACGCTTCAACTTTTAAATGCAACCATGCCTTTGCATTTTTGCCAACTAAGGAACCTCAGTGTGATCAGAAAAACTTTGTGGCAGTATTCAAATCTTTTTTCCTTCCTTCTTTCCTTCCCTCCCTCCCTCCTTCCTTCCTTCCTTTCTTTCTTTTTCTTCCTTCTTTTCTTTTCTTTCTTACTCTTCTTTTATTCTTTGAGAGAGAATATTTTTCTCACTCTTCTTTTATTCTTTGAGAGAGAATATTTTTCTTCACTTTTTGAACTTTTTTTTAGTTTGTTCATTTTGCCATAGGGCCTGTGCATTGGGCAGCAAGAGAGAGGAAAGAGGAAAAGTGAGAAATCACCCCTTCTTGGGGATGGTCATGCTACAATCCCTTCTCCTCCATTTTCCTCTCAGGATCTTTGACACATAAGCACAAGTGCCCAGTGTGATTTTCAACCTGACCAGTGTAGGACTCAAACTGCATGTTTGGCTACATGGGATTCAACGCCTTAACCTCCACTCCACCTGCTGGCCCATCTTGTCATGTTTTAGCATAGTTGTCCCACTATATCTATGGCTGATTTAGTTCTAAGATTCCCTGAGAATACAAAACTCTGAGAATACTCAAGTCTCTTATACAAAATGGCACGTTTGCATGTAATTATGCATATCCTTTCTTACACTTTATTTTTTGTTTTTCCTTTGGAGAGGTTTCTGCTATAAGGCATGTGCACTCACCAGAAAGACAGAGAGACGGAGAGATAGAAAGTGAGAAATCACCCCCTCAGGGGGGATGGCCATGCCACAATCCCTTCTCCTCCATTCTCCTCTCAGGATCTTGGGCATGCACGCACACATGCCCAGTGTGAGTTTAAGCCACCAGGTCTGGGACTTGAAATCCAGTCAACTACATGAGAGTACAGTGGCATAACCATTATGCCAACTGCTGGTCCCCTTTCCTACACTTTAAATCATCTCTCAGTGACTTATATCAATAGTACTTGTGATGCCGTTTAGAGAGAAATGACAAGGAGCGAAAAGTCTATACAAGTTCAGTACAGATGCTACCAATTTTTTTCCATATATTTTTGATCCACAATTCCTTGAATGTGTGGGTACAAATGCATTTATGTGGAACTCATGAATGAGAAGGGTTGAAGTATATTCTATACGAATGAAAATCTGCCTCCTGTTTTTAACACTGAGCAGAATTAAAGCAGGTGTTTTTAGACTACAATGGGCAGTTCAATATGTTATTAATGTTAAAATCAAAATCTTGGCTTTTGGTCCTTATCAATTCTGTGCCATCTTCCAATTTGAAATATTTGTAAAGAATATATTTATAACACTCTTTATACAAGAGGCTGTTATATTGTACCTGTTTTCTCTTAGCTCTTTTCGAAAAAGACTTCTGAATGAAATTCTACGCTGAACTAAACACATAGAATATATGTTAGTAACATCTTGATCCAGAGATTTCTAAGTCAATCAGTCCTATTTCTGACTCAACCAGTTATCAATCACTTTAAGTTTTAATGATTTTTCAAACCATAATCCTGTGGAACCATTTAGTCCAAAACAATAAATTAATAAAATTATATTATTGATGGTGAAGAAATTTGTTTGTTTTAGTAAAAAAAAAAAAAAAGAACAGAAAACAAAACAAGACAAACTTCCTCATGATATTGCCTGTATGTCTCTTTATGTATCTTTACATGGAAAATTAGTTTATAAAGAGTACTATAACCAATACAATCTTTCAAATTGTTGTCTGCTTCAAATTTTCATAAATGAAGTGAATATCTACTGTGGCAGAAACATTGTTTTCTCAACTCCTGTATAACAGGGTGATGTCTTCTTAGATTTCTGGGCTGCTTTAGAATACAGTGCTTTGAGTTAAACAATCGGAGACAAACTTCTGCTTCTCCCATCTAATGAACTTCTATCTTTTCTTCTTACCAGAAATGATGTTCGTGAGCCTTGCACTGCTGCATAATTATTGATGCAAATTATAATAGTCTCCTCAATCCTACTCGGTTTTTAAGAAATCTGATGAAACTTCAAATGAGGCACTGATTTTTGAAAAATTATAGATAAGATTATTGACAAATAAATTACATTTATAAAATGTACTCTCTTTAGGATACAGTTGTTGAAATTTGGTAAACACAGTTGTGCAACTACCACCAAAACAACTCAATCATCCTTCCCTATTTTCTCTGCCCTTTTTGAGTCCCAGACCCCAGGACCTGTTAACCATCTAACTGTTTTGTGTTCCTACTGTTTTGCTTTATTGAGCATGTGATATAAATTGCATAATATGTATTAAGTGAACTTGTGCGCCGGACTTCTTTCATTTAGGGTCATATATTTAACATTCACCCATGTTTCTGTATACATTGATACTCTGATCCTTTTTTATTACCAAGCAGTATTCCGTTAGAAGGACATATCAGCATTGGTTATCCATTCAGTGGTTGAGGGATACTTGGGCTTCTTCCAGTTTTGGGTAATTATGAATAAAGATGCTATGAATATTTGCATAGAGGTTTTAGTGTGGACATATGTTTCGTTTCTCTTTGGTAAATACTTACAAGTAGATTATATGATTAATGTATTTTTAACTTTAGAAGAAAATGTCAAACTATTTTTCTAAGGAGTTACAGCATTTCATATTCCATCTTTATGTATGAATGTTTCAGTTGTTCTACATGCCTGTCAGCACTTGGTATTGTCAGTTCTCCCATCTAAATTCTATTTCCCAAAAGTCTAGTGATATTATGTTTCCATGTTCTTATTTGCTACTTGTGCAACTTTTTTTGTTGAAGAATCTACCTAAATGTTTTACCCATCTTAAAATCAGGTTGTCTTATCATCAGTGAGTTTTGTGAGTCATTTATATATTCTGAAACCTAATTATTGGCCATAGATGTGTTTTTCAGCTAATTTTAAACAGGCTATAGCTTGTTATAAATTTTGTTTCTGTTCTCATAGCTAATAAATCTACACCTAACACAATGTTACAAAGATTTTTCTCCATTTGCCTGGCATATACAAGCTGGTCTGGGAACCAGACCTGTTCTTTCATGTGGCTTCCAGCATTGCAGAGTGTTGTGCTGTTGCTGTGTCACTATGGCCAGGACCCAGAATCATTTATTGAAAGACCATTCTTTGTCTATTTAGTTAGCTTAGCACCCACTTGTGTGGGTCTATTTCTGAGCTTTCTGTTCCTTTTATTTATGTGTCCATCCTTTTGTCAACAGCTCGCTGTCCTGTTGTACAAAGCTTTATAATGGGTCCGTGGAAGTCTCATGATTTTTTTCTGTTTTTCTGTGCTTCATGACTTGTCCGATGACCCAATAGTAATTCTTGGGTTCAGGCAATATGTTCATTATTTTAAAAATTACTTTAGGTATTCTAGTTCATTTTTCTTTCCATATATGCTTTGTAATTAGCTTGTTTATTTCTACATTAAAGAACAAAAGGAGGGAATGAAGGGAGGGTGGAAAGGAAGAAATCCCTTGCCGGAATTCTGAATAGAATTGCATTGAATTTACATTAGATTTGGAAGAGTTCGCACCTTAACAATATTTAGTCTTCCAATCCATGAACACAGTATCTTTTTCCATTTGCATAGGTCTTTTTTGATTTTTTTTTTTCATTAATGCTCTATGGTTGCCAGCTTCTACATATTTTGTTAGATTTATAACTAAGTACTTGTTATTGTTAGGGGTACCAGCAGGTACCTAAAATGGTACCTGAAAACATTTTAATTCTAATTGGTCATTACTAGTATATATAAGTACAAATCATTTTTATAAATTGATCTTGTATCTCATGAACTTGCTAAAATCACTTATTAGTCCTGATAGTTTTTTGGTAGGTTGTTCAAGATTTTTCACACACACAATCAAGTCATGTTTGTTTAGAGATAGTTTTATTTCTTCCTTTCT